TTTTCATAAATTTTTCAATTTATAAACCTTTTGTAAAGCTACTTTATTTTTTATGAATAAGGCTATTAGACTACAGAAATCATATTTTTGAAAATATTTTTAAGATTATTTTACAATTAATCGATTAATAAATCGATTAGTGAAACACGAAACTACGATACAATTAAATCGTAAATTGGACCAAAATAATCGATTAATTTAATCAAATGATTAATCGCTGCCATCCCTAGCCACAACCTTGTAAGGCAAAAAGGGCAATGGTCCAAATATTGTAACATCTGTTCATGAAACGTTTGGCAGGAAACGGCATATCCCTTGTTTTGTACACACACTTAATTTGGTTTGTGAGAACTTGCTGACCATTCCTGAAGTAAATGCAATTATTGACAAATGTAAAGTCATCGGTAAGTGGTTTAAAAAAAGTATTAAAGCCAATGACAATCTTCGCAGAATGCAAGCTTCAGCAGGTGTTAGTAAAGGAAAAATGCTCAAACCAATATTAAACGTAAAAACAAAGTGGAATTCGACGTAATTTATTCTTGAACGGTTTATAAAAATAAGTTTATACATCAGCCAAATATTGCTAGACAACTCTGAAGCTCCGGTAATGATAACTTCAATGGAAAAAGATATTATAATAGAACTATTGAGTATATTGAGACCTTTAGAGGCAATGAGAGTACAATTAAGTGCGGTCGCGAACAAATAATTAAAATATTACCAAAGTAACGCGTCGCCCAAAATTTAAGAGATGCCGTCTTGAAACAATTTGACCGAAGGTCTGGCTCCATCGAACATTCCTCTTTGCTAGCTGCATCAACTTTACTCGACTCGAGGGTCAGAAAAATTCATTTCAAAGATCCGTTAACATTGGCCTCAGTGATGAAGTTCTTGCGAAATGAAATAATTTGCGCAGATGATTTTATGGAAACAGGAAGGACTCACTTCTCTTGAATCATTAGAGATTGAGTTCGATCTTCGGGTCCCCCATAAATCTCTTGTACACAAATGAGTTTTTATTTAAATTATCACGTCCTAGAACTAAATCGCAATATAATCGAGGCTTTGGAGGAAATGAAAACTGTTTACCCACAACTTTACAGACTTTCGAAAAAATATTGTCATTTAGTTGGTACCTCGGTGCCTGCTGAGCGCCTTTTTCAAAAGCTGGTGCTACAGCCACGGAGAAACGCAACCGCTTAACAACAAAGCGTTTATCAAAAACTTTTGTTTTCGCAAACTTGGATAAATAATAAATAATTATCGCCGCAAAAAGTAATCATTTTATTTTATTTAGACCTAATAACCAATAGAATTAGAAATTGTTTATGGAAAAGTGTTTTTGTGAACACTCACTGCAAAAAAGTGCCTTTAAAAAAATTGGATTAATCGATTAACAGAAGTTTACTCACATTTGAGGAAAATTAAATTTAAATGAAAATGCTGTACTTAATGAGTGGAGATTATTTGAATATAACTTCCCTCAAAATAAAACAGATAAACTCGTCGAATTAGACATTCAGCAGTTTTGGAGTTTGATGAGTAAAGCTCAAAATTTTAACGACGAATTTTTATTTCCTCTTTTTTCAAAAATAACAAAGTTTTGTTTATCTCTTCCCCATGTGAATGCAGAATCAGAGAGAATATTTTCAATCATTACAGATGTTCGTACTAAGAAACGAAATAAACTAAGCCATGAAAATCTTACTTCTATATGCATGATTCGGTCGTTCTCGCATGACGGATATGTTGATTGCGTCTCGTACAAATTCCCAGAATCCATTTTTAAATTTATGGTGGCTAAAAACGTATATGACCATCATTAAAATTTCCTCATTTATGCTTTTTGCTTTTGATGCTTTTTATAAATACATGTTTGAACACTATTAAACACACACTGTGATTTATTTAAATAAAAACACTTATTTATGTGCCATATTGAAATAATAATATAAATTCAAAACAAAAACGTTTTCTACTCAATCTGCGTTATTGATTTTATTTTTTAGATTTAGATTAGATAAAAGCCAGTTTGCATAAAAATCTTGTTAAAATGCTTATAAAACCGCCTCATCTACATGTGTTTTAATTTTGAAAATTGTTTAACGCTGCTGGAACGAAAGTACTGTAGGGGATTTTGTAGGGAATTTTTTGTTTGTGCGTAGGGAAAAGTAGAGACTTTTTTTTTAGCTGATGGTAGGGATTTTCGAAAAAAAATATGAGGCATCACTGGTCGTCACTAGAATCAGTAGAAAATGAGTTCGATCTTTGGGCCCCTCATACATCTCTTGTACACAAACGAAGGCAAAAAGATGATGATTTGGGCCACCCACAAGATGAAATCAGTTTTCATTTAAATTGTCTAGTTCTAGAACTAGAGTGGAATATCATCGACGCATTGGAGGAAATGAAAACTGTTTACCCAAAACCTTGCGGACTTTCGAAAAAATACTGTTATTTACCGAGAAACGCAACCGCTTAAGAACAAAGCGCTTATTAAAACTTTTGTTTTTGCAAACTAGGTTAAATAATAACTAATTATCCCCGCTCAAAATACTCGTTTTATTTAATTTAATGGTGATTTCGTTTCTTCCAAAAAATGTTGCCCTTTCTCCGGTGCAAAATGTGTTTGATGTTACACTCAACCGTGTAAAAATGCATGTTTGCATGCCTTCTTGCCCTTATCTAGACTGCGCATTTCCTAATAATTTCGTTTTAAACAGCCATCTGATTTTCAGGGCAACCATCTCTCCTGACAAAGCTACAAAGGGCAGAGAATGGGCCTTTTTTGCTTTATAAGAATGTGACATTTTAAGAAACGGACACAAAATTTTCTCACCTTTTGCCTTTAATTTAGAATCGAACACGAAAAGAGAAAGGGGCAATCAAAAGGTGACATTTTTGGTAGAAACGAAATCACCATAAGGTTAATTAACAAGAGGTTTATGAGTTTTTTATGGAAAGGTGTTTTTGTGAATACTCACTGTAAAAAAAGCACCTTTGAATCGATTAATCGATTATTTCTCAATAATTGCAATTAATATTTTTGGCTTGTGATTAATCATATCTATTATTTTATTTCTTTTGCCATCCCTAGTCCGCTGCATCGTTTTCAACAACCATGTCACTGTTTTGCTCTGCAGTTATCTTTTCACTACATATTTTTTTTTTTCTTCTTTTTCATGGAGTAGGCGACGCCATTTAGTTCAACTTCTTAAGTGCCGTTAGCTGCACTTTTCTCTTTTTTTAAAAGCAATTTAAGGTTTTTTTTTATATACGCTACACAAATTAAAAAAAGGAAAATTCGCCAAGATTACTCACCAAATCGCTTTTCATTCCCCAGATTTCTTAAATAAAAAGACGTAACACGCTTTACTTTTGCTCTATAATTCACGCGGACACAAAAAAGGCCAAGAAAAACTAAAAATTACTGCACTATGCTCGCACAAATTAAACTATTTTACAAGAGGACGCGCACGACCCACACATGCTCATCGCCAAAATCCGAATGTGAACAAAAATACTTACAAAAGTTGATATTTCCTCGCTACGATATAATTAAAAGGTAAAAATAGGGTGGCCAGATGCGCTGATTTAATCAGTACATGTGCTGATTTTTTTCTATTGTACTGATTTTTAAGAGTCCGAAATCAGTACGCAAAATCTACTGATTTTTTGAGTTTTTACTGATTTTTACATTTAATAAATACTTTTGTAAACTGGTGTAATTGACATTTACTTGAGGTTTACATGTTCAAAACAATGGTTTTTGACAACTCTTACGTGTGAGCAGATTGAAAGCATTAATTAAACTTGAACCATTATTAAAAAGGTATCAGCTTGCAATTGTTTCGTTTCCTAGGATTTCGCAAAATAAGAAACTGTTTGGATTCAACTCAACCCAACTTCACGATTTGCAGGTTTTACAGGATTTACAGGAAAAGCTGGTTTCGCCATAAATAAATCTTATGAAAGGTGGTGGTGAGTTAATCATATATTAAGTACACTGAGAAGATGACAATAAGAGATAATCTTTCGATTATAATTAAACATCCACTGAGAAATCGGCTGTCGGTATTTCAAATTTAAGACGACTACTGCTACGGTGCAATGTAAGTTCTAAAAATTTGGAAAAGGTGCAAACTATCGACTCTTGGATATGATATATGTAGCTTTACTTTGATTTTTGATGTTCGACCACCTGTAATTTTAATTGCAGATACACATTTAACACTATTAAATTTCATTCGTACTCGTAAATTCGTTTAGCGATAATTCGGTAATATACCTTTTAGTCAACATTTTAATGTGAATGTTGTTTTTAATAAGCACACCAACTAAATATGTTTAAAATTTGTAGCTTAAAATATGCAAACAGATTCTGACTCGAGCTCGTCTTCTACTGAAACTGAATGGGCAAACAATTTTTTTTTTTTTTCTAAATTTTTATAAATTTTCTAGAAAGTTTGAGACTTCACTCACATGTCTTTTGTTATAGAATTAACTATATTTTTATAAAAAATTTCAATTAAGTAAGGGAAGAAAAAAATTTCAAAACCTGTCAATACATTTTACTACTATTTTCCTGAGCACAGCTGTACATACATACGTAATACTTTTGATTTGTTTTAAAGTAATGAATTTTTGTATTGATAATACTATATGTATTTAAAAGTGTATTAGTTATTTTTTGTTAAATTAATGCGCTGTTATTTGGCTGTTATATTGTTAATAATAAAAAATACGCTTAAGAATGAGCTGATTTTTATGGCTTTGTACTGATTTTTGATCACAAGTGTACTGATTATGTCACTATAATATCTGGCCACCCTAGGTAAAAGCAGAGATCGTTAATAGACAAGATATAGCGAACAGAAGGTGACGCATTCCGCTACCTGCTACTTTGGTTTGGCTGATTTCGACATTTCTCGTGTAAAAGCAAACGATGCCTCTAAAGCTTTAAATGTACTGAAATTCACTAATACTATCACTAAAATCACCATTTTTCACATTTTCTTTGTTAATCGTTTTTACAAATCATTTATTTTCACAATTTAAAGCAAAGCACAAAGCAAAACCCTTTTCCTATCGAAAATTAAAATATTAAGATAATTGGCTCTTCTGTCATTCTTTTTATCCTCATTTTGGGCTTTGTTTACTTTTACACCAGAAAAGCCAACGCCACCAGGAATGCGCAATCTTGTATTCTATTATTATTGGCTAATAGCAGAGATTGTGTAATTACGAATAAGCGTATGAATTGCTAAAAGCTATCAAAATTGCTCTGGAAGTTCACCACTCGAATCGGAAATTGAGAGCGGCAAGCATGATCATGGTGGAATAAGAGAATGTGATATCCAGCGTAGGCACTTTGTTACGATCTTACTAAATTTGCTACGATTTATCAAAGATTTTAAAATTTGGTACCCCATTACGTTTTATCATATTTTTACTACGCTTTTTTATTTCTTTTCTATTTCTTTTATATTTTTGTAAATAACTATTACTTTAAAAATTTGGTGTACAGACCATGGCTTAAAAATCGTAATGGCTACTTTTACAGCAAATTATGAAAAAAAGCGTTTAAGCAACAACCACCACCACTATCGGCCATATTTGAAGTTCGATACTATCGAGGAATTGCCTATGTATGATTTTTATGCATCATATCTACTATATTCAAACGCGATTGTGTGAAATTTTTTATAAGTAATACTCGTGCGGATAGTGTAACAAAATATGGACAAATATCTAACTCATAATGTAAAAAGGTAACGTGTTTTTTATAGATATGTTTACATTGCATGTGTTTTATTATATGTAATAACCAGGGAACGGATTTTATGGAAATTGCCTTTTTTTCTGCTAAAGAGATAGAGTATATTCGGTTAAGAATGTCCACGATCTAGCTTTCCCTGATTCCATATATACATATTTGATGTTGCCTTTTTTAAGATATTTGCCTTTTTTTGCCTTTTCTACCTTTAAAAAAGTGATTATATCATTTACAATTTTTTTTTTAAGATTAAAAAATATACACATGCCCATGCGGCTTATATGTAGAAGCGCAGGGACCTCTTGCCAAATTGGTGTTGGAAAAATTCAAAGCCGTTTTCTCAGCTAATGTAGGCTTGGAGACAATAAGGGGCGTGGATAAAATTGTAAAGGGCGAGGAAAACACCCTTATTCCTGATAATATGAACGTTTCAAACGTTCCATATTTAAATTGGGCTCCATTTGTACCAACTTACGTCGAGCGCACATTGAGTACATTCAAGGCTTTTCTTCGCGAAAATCGAATGAAAATGCTGCCAGAAAACTTCAAAATGCATCTTGAGGTTCACTATTACTACTACAACTATACAGATTAAAGTTTTATGAGTTAGAAACTCGAAAGGATAAAATTGTCAAAGATTCAATGTACAAATGTTTCATATAATGAAACTTGTTCATAGCTTTTCTCCTTTTAATTGTAATATAAATAGGACTGCCAGACGTCCCGGTTTTCCCGGACGTGTTCCGTTTTTAGACTATTTGTCCCGGTGTCCCGGTCCAACCTTAAAATGTCCCGGGTTTCGTTTAAGTGTTCAGATTTTAATTGCAGAAATTTTAATAAAAGTTCAAAAATCACTACCAATGCCATTTGTGAAATAGTTAAATCTCCAGATAGTTGAACTTTGCACAAGCAATATTTGATCATCGATATACCCACAATACATACCTTTAAGTGCAAAGTGCCCTTCCTGATGCTAATTAGCCCTTTTTGCTCGTTTGTTGTTTGTGCATGGTTCCTTCCAATGTAAGTTTTCGCGACAAAGTTTATAGAATATAAAGATGTTTGTTTATAGTGTTTTAATAAGAAGAAAATGCCAAACAGAAAGTATAAATTGCTTCCCCATGATAAAAACATAGCAAGGTAAAACCGTTCTCTCAATTCGTCGGCCATGATTTTTTTTTTTAAGTTTGCCAACATTTTAAAATCATATAAAATTGAGACTAAGAAAAAGGAATTGTTCAAAGTTGTTGTTGTTTTAGATTGAAAATGAGAATGCGTGTGTGAGTTTGTGTGTAAAATTTTAAAATTAAATTGCTTGCAAATGTCAAGAATTTGAAAAATTCCTCTCAGCGGTTCTACCTTCCTATTTTTTTTATCATGTGCTTCCCGCTTTCACAGAGGAGTTGTCATTTTTTTTTTTGACGTTATAGTACCTTAAAAGAGAGCCTCACTGCATCACACCTTGTTTAATACATCTTGGCCATACCTAGTCATAAATCTAATATAGATACATTTTTTCTCTTATTTAATTCGCTCAATATACAAAAGTTCATACGTTACAAATTACGTGTACAGAGTTTTACAATTATATTAAGGAAAAGTCAGAAGTTTTGAAAAAATTCACAGCAACGAAAAATATGGCTGATTTTTTAATGCTATCTTGTACCATCGTACAATAATTACAGGTATTGTCTTCCCAGAGAGCACATATTCCGATCTGCCTTATTTGAAAAATATCATTGTTGCCCACACTTAAAGGTTTACTGAAAGGGAAATGTAATATTTCTATTCACCATATACCATGTACCATGTATTTTTTTTAAACAAAGCTTCTTGCAGAGAACTTATTTAA